ACCACACACACACACACACACACACACACACACACACACACACACACACACAAGCACCAACACACACACACACAGGGAGGGAATGTAGTGTTTGTTTAATATTGTTTTAGCACTATGAAAATGGAAAAAAGGATTCGCCAATGGATTATGACAACAACTAAAATAAATGGGAAAATGGGAGAGGAGAAATGACTAGAGACAGTGTTGTTTAACTCACTGACCATGACCCATGAGTTCTTCTTACCTTTGTTCAGTAGAAAAGTCTCCCTCTCTAAACACTATAGGACGACCCATAGACTGGTCACTCTTCATGGACACACAGCTGGGTACAGGGGAGGCTGGTCTCTCCTGCTTGATTGGACTTCAACACAACAGAGACAAACATTACATCTCTCATCTACTCTGAGTTCAGATGGGGAAACAGAGGAAGAGTTTTATTCCAAAACGCTATATATCCATTTTCAGAAATGTTCGTAAATTAACTTATAATGTTTAAAGAAATTATCAAATAAATGGTTGTGTTTTCTCACTATCTAATCATAGCAGCCATTTTGCCTACCTATGTTGTGGGATCTTGACTCTTGTTTTGCTTGTTTGTGTGTAGCCATTGTGAGCTTCACGTTACGTTGCTTATGTTGTTTTGTCGTGTGTTAACTTAGTGAATAAACATGTATGCATTCCACGCTGCACCTTGGTCCAATCCTGTACTCAACGAACGCGACAGTGCATTTATCTTAAGATAGCTAAGTGAGACAACCACATATCACAGTCAAATATACAGGATACGAACATCCCATTCCAGCTAAACATTGGATATATAGTGTTTTGCAAAAAAAACACATTTTCATACACCTCTAAAATCGATTAATAAAAAATCTGAGATCAGTAACGCCTTGAACACACCGACTGCGTCATTGCATTTTGGTCACCAGAAGTACATTCATTTCCAATGTGTGGTGCATACCTTGGATTTATCGAACGTATGCGTCAAACTATCTGCGTAGACGGCTTGACAGAAATGGTAGCAGAAGGTGAATGTTGAACTTTTGTTGCACACATATTTAGATGATGCTGCTACTATTTTATCAATGACGCAGTCGGTGTGTTCAAAGCGTAATATTGAAGGTACCCATAAGCAATAATTTCTGATGAAAAAAGTAATGTGACAAAATTGTGGACATATAGTTTTGGAAATGTAATTAATAATTCTTAAACAAAACTGTAAAATCACCTCTTAGTTTTGGTGTCATGTTCCCCAGAGAGACTCATTTTAGAGGCAGGGCCCCCCTCCTCTCTCTCCCCAGAGAGACTCATTTTAGAGGCAGGGCCCCCCTCCTCTCTCTCCCCAGAGAGACTCATTTTAGAGCACTGACCCCTAAACAGAGATGCAAAATGTTGGTTGTGGTGAACACAGTGACAACTCATTCTAGAATGTCCATTGTTCTCTTTTATTCATGATCTCTTAGAAATAAAACATTTACTAACAGACACCTCCAAACAATCAGGCTATTTAATGCAATCACATGAACATCTGGTTGTGACATCTCATCTCCATGGTAACTGTCAATAATAATAATAAGTCACTGTTTGTTAAGGTAGTTCTAGACAGTGCAGCAACACAAGGCCATGTCTCACACTTATTTGTATTCATTAAAAGTAGGCTATTTATTGTCTTTCAATCTGAGAATGTAGACAGAAGGGCTAAAACGGGCATGATTGATCTGAGGGGAAATCATTGATACATTCAGAAAGTTTTTTTGCAACATGTAAGAGATGTTATGTTATGTAAAGTAGGCTAGGTTATAATATAAACTCAGCAAAAAAAGAAACGTCCCTTTTTCAGGACCCTGTCTTCAAAGATAATTCGTAAAAATCCAAATAACTTCACAGATATTAATTGTAAAGGGTTTAAACACTGTTTCCCATGCTTGTTCAATGAACCATAAACAATTAATGAACATGCACCTGTAGAACGGTCGTTAAGACACTAACAGCTTACAGACGGTAGGCAATTAAGGTCACTGTTATGAAAACTTAGGACACTAAAGAGGCCTTTCTACTGACTCTGAAAAACACCAAAAGAAAGACACCAAGGGTCCCTGCTCATCTGCGTGAACGTGCTTTAGGCATGCTGCAAGGAGGCATGAGGACTGCAGATGTGGCCAGGGCAATAAATTGCAATGTCCGTACTGTGAGACGCCTAAGACAGCGCTACAGGGAGACAGGACGGACAGCTGATCGTCCTCGCAGTGGCAGACCACGTGTAACAACACCTGCACAAGACCGGTACATCAGAACATCACACCTGCGGGACAGGTACAGGATGGCAACAACAACTGCCCGAGTTACACCAGGAATGCACAATCCCTCCATCAGTGCTCAGACTGTCTGCAATAGGCTGAGAGAGGCTGGACTGAGGGCTTGTAGACCTGTTGTAAGGCAGGTCCTCACCAGACATCACCGGCAACAACGTCGCCTATGGGCACAAACCCACCGTCACTGGACCAGAAAGGACTGGCAAAAAGTGCTCTTCACTGACGAGTCGCGGTTTTGTCTCACCAGGGGTGATGGTCGGATTCGCGTTTATCATAGAAGGAATGAGCGTTACACTGAGGCCTGTACTCTGGAGCGGGATCGATTTGGAGGTGGAGGGTCCGTCATGGTCTGGAGCGGTGTGTCACAGCATCATCGGACTGAGGTTGTTGTCATTGCAGGCAATCTCAATGTTGAGCGTTACATGGAAGACGTCCTCCTCCCTCATGTGGTACCCTTCCTGCAGGCTCATCCTGACATGACCCTCCAGCATGACAATGCCACCAGCCATACTGCCAGCCAGTCAAAAGTTTGGACACACCTACTCATTCAAGGGTTTTTCTTTATTTCTACTATTTTCTAAATTGTAGAATAATAGTGAAGACATCAAAACTATGAAATAACACATATGGAATCATGTAGTAACCAAAAAAGTGTTAAACAAATCAAAATATATTTTATATTTGAGATTCTTCAAAGTAGCCACCCGTTGCCTTGATAACAGATTTTGCACACTGTTGGCATTCTCTCAACCAGCTTCATGAGGTAGTCACCTGGAATGCATTTCAATTAAGAGGTGTGCCTTGTTAAAAGTTAATTTGTGGAATTTCTTTCCTTAATGTGTTTGTGCCAATCAGCTGTGTGGTGACAAGGTAGGGGTGGTATACAGAAGATAGCCCTATCTGGTAAAAGACCAAGTCCATATTATGGAAAGAACAGCTCAAATAAGCAAAGAGAAACGACAGTCCATCATTATTTTAAGACATGAAGGTCAGTGAATCCGGAAAATGTCAAAATTAATCAGGCCTTCATGGTTGAATTGCTGCAAAGAAACCACTACTAAAGGACACCAATAAGAAGAAGAGACTTGCTTTGGCCAAGAAACATGAGCAATGGACATTAGACCGGTGGAAATCTGTCCTTTGGTCTGGAGTCCAAATTGGAGATTTTTGGTTCCAACCGCCGTGTCTTTGTGAGACGCAGAGTAGGTGAACGGATGATCTCTGCATGTGTGGTTCCCACCGTGAAGCATGGAGGAGGAGGTGTGATGGTGTGGGGGTGCTTTGCTGGTGACACTGTCTGTGAATTATTTAGAATTCAAGGCATACTTAACCAGCATGGCTACCACAGCATTCTGCAGCGATACGCCATCCCATCTGGTTTGCGCTTATTGGGACTATCATTTGTTTTTCAACAGGACAATGACCCAACACAACTTCAGGCTGTGTACGGGCTATTTTACCAAGAAGGAGAGTGATGGAGTGCTGCATCAGATGACCTGGCGTCCACAATCACCCGACCTCAACCCAATTGAGATGGTTTGGGATGAGTTTGAATGCAGAATGAAGGAAAAACAGCCAACAAGTGTTCATCATATGTGGGAACTCTTTCAAGACGGTTGGAAAAGCATTCCAGGTGAAGCTGGTTGAGAGAACGCCAAGAGTGTGCAAAGCTGTCATCAAGGCAAAGGGTGGCTACTTTGAAGAGTCTAAAATCTAAAATATATTTGTATTTGTTATAGTTATAGATCATTGTTCATATCCTTTGCTAGTTAGTGAGTTATTAGCCCAGTTATAGATCATTTGTTCATATCCTTTGCTAGTTAGTGAGTTATTATCCCAGTTATAGATCATTTGTTCATATCCTTTGCTAGTTAGTGAGTTATTATCCCAGTTATAGATCATTTGTTCATATCCTTTGATAGTTAGTGAGTTATTATCCCAGTTATAGATCATTTATAGTCAGCAATAGGGGCGTGATTGCTTCCTACAACAGCACAAAACGTGTCCATTTCTAGACATCATTGAAAAGCGAGTCAGGTAAAGAGATGTTTTTGTCTTAAAGGGGCAATGTTGTATTTTGAGACAGGCTTGAATAAACTAAGTAGCCAATAGGCAGAGGGTAGCATAATTTGTCTGATTCTCTGTAATAATGGTATGGGAATAATGATGAATTTTTTTTTGTAAAGTGGTTTCTTGCATCAAACAACACAACATTTGAAGTCACCTCCTCCTTGTCTGAAGGACCAGTGGATAAACGGGTTAATGCCAAGCCCTGCATGTTTTGTTCTAAAGTCTCATGGAATGTAGGCTTACATTGAACACCACACATTGGCTGCTACTGTAGGCTGAATGATAGAACAGCTATTTCCATGTTAAATGTTATTGGAGGCCTTTTTTACATTATGATCAAATAGCCTACACTGTTAAAACTGTAACTTAAAGTGGGTACAGCCTCAGTGTTCACAGTAAACTCACGCCGGAAGTTGCACAGATCGCTACACTATAGTAGAACTATGATACAATTACATTTATCATACGAAATGTTGAATTTGAATTTGACTTGTCCACGTCCAGTTAGCGCCATTTTGTATGATTTTAAACTGTCAAGTCATTATAAATTCTCCGTTCTGCTGAGAGCACCTTCCTGATGACTAGCACTCTGTACATTCCTATGGATGAGGCCTGAGCTGGAATGTGAAGCTAACTGAAGCTAGCTAGCTTTAGAAAACCAGTATATCTAGCTTGCATCATAGTCCACCCCTCAGGCTACGTTCAGGTTTCAGCATGAGGCAGACATCAACAGCCGAGTTGTAGGCTACTACCTGGGTCGTATTCATTAGTTTACTCCGCAGCCAACAGTTTTGCAACAATGCATAAACGGTTTGCTCCAAACGCTGTAAAAGGTGACCTAAACGGTTTCCGTTGCCAAACGTTTTTGCTACGGTGGGCACTAATGAACACACACAACCTGTTTTGAGGAAGTGTAAGTTGTTGTTAGTAGTTCCACAATATTTATTTGTCTCTCTTTCACACAACATACCTTCCTGAGTGAAAAGAGTTAACAGTAGATTAGAAAGAGAAAATGTTTGTTAGTTGCTTGTTGTGTTTTAAGCCTGTTTTGAGAAGACAAGTCTATAGGTCTATGATACAGTAGGAGATCACCCTGGGGAACACAGTCTATAGGTCTATGATACAGTAGGAGATCACCCTGGGGAACACAGTCTATAGGTCTATGATACAGTAGGAGATCACCCTGGGGAACACAGTCTATAGGTCTATGATACAGTAGAAGATCACCCTGAGGAACACAGTCTATAGGTCTATGATACAGTAGGAGATCACCCTGGGGAACACAGTCTATAGGTCTATGATACAGTAGGAGATCACCCTGGGGAACACAGTCTATAGGTCTATGATACAGTAGAAGATCACCCTGGGGAACACAGTCTATAGGTCTATGATACAGTAGGAGATCACCCTGGGGAACACAGTCTATAGGTCTATGATACAGTAGGATGATCACCCTGAGGAACACAGTCTATAGGTCTATGATACAGTAGGAGATCACCCTGGGGAACACAGTCTATAGGTCTATGATACAGTAGGAGATCACCCTGGGGAACACAGTCTATAGGTCTATGATACAGTAGGAGATCACCCTGGGGAACACAGTCTATAGGTCTATGATACAGTAGGATATCATCCTGGGGAACACAGTCTATAGGCCTATGATACAGTAGGATATCATCCTGGGGAACACAGGAGGGCACGGAACGAATTCACCCCCATCTCCGCATCAAATTGACTTCAAATACATTTTAAGGAGAGTAGGCCAATTATAACACTGTCTACCAAAAAATCAACTATATTAAAACACATAACAATATCATCAACTATATTATTACACATAACAATATCATCAACTATATTAATACACATAACAATATCATCAACTATATTATTACACATAACAATCGTCGTCTTACCTTTTATTTCTCTCTCAACAGAAGCAGAGTCTAGAATAATCATTCGGTCGTCGAAAGTTACTTTTGTTTGCTCATCTCATTTCCATATCAGGTTCTACCTGTTGTCCACTCCCTGTCTTACCTTGTGAATAAAGGGCGTTTTGCCTCCACGAGCCGCCAGAACAATGCTCCTTGGTGTATATGTGCCTTGGCTTACATTCCACAAGTGTCTGGAACTCCATTGGAGGGATGTGACATCATTTGGTGTTTTGTTGATGGTGGTGGAAAACATTGTTTCAGGCGCCTCTCCAGAATCTCCCATCAGTGTTAAATTGGGTTGAGACCTGGTGACTGAGACGGCCATGGCACATCGTGAAACATCAGCAAGTTGAGCAGTCTTCTCCCCAGGGGTAGAAACTCCTCTCTCCCCAGGGGTAACAGCTCCTCTCTCTCCAGGGGTAGCAGCTCCTCTCTCCCCAGGGGCTCCTCTCTCCCCAGGGGTAACAGTTCCTCTCTCTCCAGGGGTAGAAACTCCTCTCTCCCCAGGGGTAACAGCTCCTCTCTCTCCAGGGGTAGCAGTTCCTCTCTCCCCAGGGGTAGCAGTTCCTCTCTCCCCAGGGGTAACAGCTCCTCTCTCCCCAGGGGTAACAGCTCCTCTCTCCCCAGGGGTAGCAACTCCTCTCTCCCCAGGGGTAGCAACTCCTCTCTCCCCAGGGGTATCAGCTCCTCTCTCCCCAGGGGTAGCAGCTCCTCTCTCCCCAGGGGTAGCAACTCCTCTCTCCCCAGGGGTAGCAACTCCTCTCTCCCCAGGGGTAGCAACTCCTCTCTCCCCAGGGGTAGCAACTCCTCTCTCCCCAGGGGTAACAGCTCCTCTCTCCCCAGGGGTAGCATCTTCTATAGCCACAGTAAAACAAGTCCTATATCGCCATAAAAAAGCCAGACTACGGTTTGCAACTGCACATGGGGACAAAGATCGTACTTTTTGGAGAAATGTCCTCTGGTCTGATGAAACAAACATTGAACTGTTTGGCCATAATGACCATCGTTATGTTTGGAGGAATTAAGGGGCACTTGCAACCCGAAGAACACCATCCCAACCGTGAAGCACGGGGGTGGCAGCATCATGCTGTGGGGGTGCTTTGCTGCAGGAGGGACTGGTGCACTTCGCAAAATAGATGGCAACATGAGGAAGGAAAATTATGTGGATATATTGAAGCAACATCTCAAGACATCAGTCAGGAAGTTAAAGCTTGGTCGCAAATGAATCTTCCAAATGGACAATGACCCCAAGCATACTTCCAAAGTTGTGGCAAAATGGCTTAAGGAAAACAAAGTCAAGGTATTGGAGTGGCCATCACAAAGCCCTGACCTCAATCCTATAGAACATTTGTGGGCAGAACTGAAAAAGCGTGTGTGAGCAAGGAGGCCTACAAACCTGACTCAGTTACACCAGCTCTGTCAGGAGGAATGGGCCAAAATTCATCCAACTTATTGTGGGAAGCTTGTGGAATGCTACCCGAAACGTTTGACCCAAGTTAAACAATTTAAAGGCAATGCTACCAAATACTAATTGAGTGTATGTAAACTTCTGACCCACTGGGAATGTGATGAAATAAATAAAAGCTGAAATAAATAATTCTCTCTACTATTATTCTGACATTTCACATTCTTAAAATAAAGTGGTGATCCTAACTGACCTAAGACAGGGAATTTGTACTAGGATTAAATGTCAGGAATTGTGAAAAACTGAGTTTAAATGTATTTGGCTAAGGTGTATGTAAACCTCCGACTTCAACTGTATTTTATTTTATTTATTTATTTATTTTATTTCACCTTTATTTAACCAGGTAAGCCAGTTGAGAACAAGTTCTCATTTACAACTGCGACCTGGCCAAGATAAAGCAAAGCAGTGTGATAAAAACAACAACACAGAGTTACATATGGGGTAAAAAAAAACAAAGTCAAAAATACAACATAAAATATATATATACAGTGTGTGCAAATGTAGCAAGTTATGGAGGTAAGGCAATAAATAGGCCATAGTGCAAAATAATTACAATTAGTATTAACACTGGATGTGCAAACCCTGGGACCCTGTATTGTGGCCTTACCCGTGTTTTAACTCATGACTCAATCTGCTTCAGTTCGGCTGGCGCTGAACTCTGCAGCCAAACCCAACGAGTGTTCTTGTATACTCCCTTAAAAAGACCTTAAAAGACCTTCGCTTGAAAAATGTGAAAAAAGCGGCAATAGTACTATTTGTCCATTTTATTAAGATAACTCAAAAAATCTTGTCAAAATGGGTAAAATTGCAGGACAGTTGCTTTAAAACTGCAAAAATGTCTCTCTGCCCCATGGCAAAATGTGTAGAATTGCAGGAAATTAACTTTTTTTGTTTTTCTATCTCAGCCGTGAAGAGCGGGGCCACAATTATTTTTTTACCCGCTTTGTCAGGCTTAATATCCAATCCTCCATTCGACTCCAGCTCATCTAAATTCTGTAACATCTGCAATGCTGTCAGCGTCCGTTCGTTTGGTTGGGCTTGCCATTGGTAACTACAGATGTTGTACGTTGTACTCAGGGTCTGATTTGATTCTCTCTGAGGGGAGATTACATACCCTTTCCAGCCTTTCATAATGAAATAATTAGACCACCCACAACACCCACAAGTCTTCATCCTCATCATTAAAGTTCTAAATTAAAATCACCCTCTTCACCCTCCTCATCGTTCAGTTCATTCAAATGTAATTGTAAAGTAACGTGCACCATTATCAGTTCCTATCGCCCATTCATCCATTGGCATCATTCAACCAGTGAGGAGAGAGAGACATTATAAACCTGGGTACCAACGTCTTAAAGCGCATTTGTCTTGGCCCCTTAAGATAGTACTAGGTGTGGAAACATTGCTTTCACCTGTCCAGTTCTCTCATGTAGTTGAGATGAAGGGAAGGAGACAAGGAGAGGAGACAAGGAGAGGAGACAAGGAGAGGAGACAATGAGAGGAAGTCCATGTAGAATGTTGATTTGCCCCCCAGGAGTTGTTGATGTCCTGAGATGTCTGTCTGTTTAGTGCTGTATGCTTGATGTCCTCCTAATAATTCTATATTTCTTCATTACATTGTTTTACTTCTTAGATCTGTGTGTATTGTTGTGTATTGTTAGATATTACTGCACTGAGCTAGGAACACAAGCATTTTGCTACACCCTCCATAGCATCTGCTAAATATGTGCATGTGACCAATAAAATAGATTTGCTGAACCCTTATTGGGAGATGGTTAACTAGTCAGTATATTCCACTGATTCATATGGATGCCAGTCCATACATTGTCTGTAAAAGTGGGTTAAACCAGACAAGCATATAACTGTAGCTATGTGGTCTTTACTTGAGTGTGTTTCAGCAGGGTGAGGTCAGAGAGGGTGAGGTCAGTCAGTATTTTTCCGAACTCCTAAAATCCGTTACCCAATCTGATGGGATGGATGTTCAACCCCATTAAAATAACCATAAGGTCTACATAGTACCTTTAAGTTAAGACCTCACATATCTGTTCATGGCAAAGCAGTTCAATTAATGATATTAATTGATTCTTGAAGAATATTACTCATAAATCATGAGTCTCATCTTGAGGAGTCACCTGTGACAGTATTCATAAAGAGTAGGAGTCCTGATCTAGGATCAGTTTTGACTTTTAGATCATAATGAAACAGATTAGATGGACAGGGGGGGACCTGATCCTAGATCATAATGAAACAGATTAGATGGACAGGGGGGGACCTGATCCTAGATCAACACTCCTACTCTGAGACACTGCCTTTATGAATAAGGGCCCAGGAGTCACCAGGACCAAGAAACTGGACACATACGATTGTAAAGTTTAGCTATTGCAGGTGTTTACTGCCATCTAGTGGAAGGTACCAATAAAACACTTTATTATCAGTGTGGGGAGACGGCTGAGCTGAAACAGAACGTAAAGATGCAGGGAAAGGAGCATCTCTTTATCAAATCCAGAGTCACATGCAGGTAAAACATTTATATTTCTATATAGTGCTGTATCTGAAAGAGCATATTCTGCAGTTTCTATGACACTTACCTTTATCAAATAACTCTCAAAATTCAAGATGTGCAGCTCTATTTCCAAATTTCAATTTTCTCAACAATATGCACTGCCGTTCAAAAGTTTGGGGTCTCTTAGAAATATCCTTGTTTTCGAAAGAAAAGCAATTTTTTGGTCCATTAAAATAACATCAAATTGATCAGAAATACAATAGGTCCTCAACTGGCAGCTTCAGTGTCTGTGTTCTTTTGCCCATCTTAATATTTTCTCTTTATTGGCCAGTCTGAGATATGGCTTTTTCTTTGCAACTCTGCCTAGAAGGTCAGCATCCCGGAGTCGCCTCTTCACTGTTGACATTGAGACTGCTGTTTTGCGGGTGCTATTTAATGAAGCTGCCAGTTGAGGACCTGTGAGGCATGTGACTTGATATCCAGGTCTCTGATTTTCAGTTGAAACTCTGTGCACTTTTCCTTTTTTTATGATAAACTTTTTATTTTATTTTCAAAGGAACACAGACAAGAACAAATCACAGCAAGAATGGTTATACAGCTAGAGACACAATACTGTTAAAATATACATCAGAACAAATAGCAGCAGGAATGGTTATACAGCTAGAGACACAATACTGTTAAAATATATATCTGTATATTATGGAAACTAGTTATTGCAGATAAATACAATTATAATAAACCACATATACAATCACCCACCTCAGCTGCATCAGCCCACCCTCCACCCTCCAACCTTCTAAATAAATGATATCTATAAAAGTGCTGATCCAATGAGGTGTGGTGGTAGCCATCTTAGTTCCAACATCTTTTTAGCTGCTGTCCAACCTGACAACATTATACGTCTTTGCTGTAATGACAACGGTGAATTATCATTCAGTAGTAACAGTTTGGGGGAACAAGGTATGAGGATACATCTTTCCAAAACATGTCCCCTGGTCACTCCCAGTACATATGATTAAAGGAGCCCAAGGCACCTTGATTACATAGATCACACAGAGGAGCAGTTGTGATTTCTATTAAATGATGTTTTCTAGGTGGAAGGTATACCCTGTGTATGAGATTAAAATGTACCAGCTGATGACTAGGATTGTTAGATGAACCCACTAAGTTCCTGATGAACTCAACCGGTGAGCCTCTTTAGCAGCTAGTTCCATGGACACACTGATTTCAATGTCCTTTGCCAAGGTCAGATGACTTTCAGTCAACAGTCTCTTTTGTGTAGCTTCACTCTGTAGCCCACATACTAGTCTGTCTCTAATGATGTCATTTAGAACAGCATTAAACTCAGTGTTCTGGTAGTTTCTTTAATGCAGCAGCAAACATTGTTACTGATTCTCCCTCTTCCTGATGTCTCCTGTGGAACCTGAACCTTTCAGCATTAACTAGTTGTTCTGGTGAAAAATGTCCTTTAAGTATCTCCACAATATCCCCATACGTCTTATTACCTGTTCTGTTTGGCTGTAGCAGGCTGCCTAGTAAATTAAATGTCTTTGGCCCCATTACACTAAAACATGTAGGCACAATGTTGTCCTCATCCATGTCATTTACAATAACAAAATATTCAAACCGTTCTGTATATGAGCTCCACTGCTCTATACTTTCATCAAACTGTCCAATGTTTCCAACAATTCCAATAATTTTTCGTTTCTCAATAAGCTCCTGATTGTCACTCACTTCAATATTGTCCTCAACCACAGCAATATTTTCCTCAGTCACGTGATCTTCATTCACTTCACTCACTGACATTTCCTCCTAAGTTCGTGTCAGAGGTGTAGGTGTGGTGCAGGAATCAAGCGCAGGACGCAGAAACTTAGTCCAACAGACTTTAGTGATCCAAAACTCAACACGAGTCAAAAAGAGCCTGGAGACGGGCGATTACGCACACAGGTGTAAAATACAATGAAAACAACAAATGCACACAACACGTGCGAAAAACCTCTCCAATACAGAGGAGGAAACGAAGCACAGTCTCAAACGACAGTAGGCGCAATCACACACAAACACAAGACAAACCAAACGAGAACTTATAGGACACAATAATGAACGCTAAACGATAACAGGTGTACAACATTAAGACAAAACCAAACGAACATCGAAACATACAACGGTGGCAGCTAGTACTCAGGGGACGACGACCGCCGAAGCCTGCCCGAGCAAGGAAGAGAGGCAGTCTCGGCCGAAACCGTGACAGTTCGCTCATTTAGCAGTTTTAATTAAAAGGTTTGTCTTCACAGTTGAATAAATGTCCTTTCCTTTAATCACTGTATGTTCCTCCCTTTTAATCACAGTGTTTTCCCGCTCCGATATCCGTCTCGAGTCCTTTTCTGCCGTCCATGACGATGTTAACTCCAGTGGTGGAAAAAGTACCCAATTGTCATACTTGAGCAAAAGTAAAGATACCTTAATAGAAAATGATTCAACTAAATGAGGAAGTCACCCAGTAAAATACTACTTGAGTAAAAGCCTAAAAGTATTTGGTTTTAAATATACTTAAGTATCAAAAGTAAATGTAATTGCTAAAATATACTTAAGTATCAAAAGTAAAAGTACAAGTATAAATCATTTCAAATTCCCTACATAAAGCAAACCAGACGATCTTCTTGTTTTTAAAATGTACGTTCAGCCAGAGGCACACTCCAACATTCAGACAATTTACAAACAAAGCATTTGTGTTTAGTGAGTCCTCCAGATCAGAGGCAGTAGGGATGACCAGGGATGTTCTCTTGATAAATGTGTGAATTGGACCATTTTCTGTCCTGCTAAGCATTCAAAATGTAACGAGTACTTTTGGGTGTCAGAGAAAATGTATGGAGTAAAAAGTACATTATTTTCTTTATGAATGTAGTGAAGTAAAAGTAAAAGTAGACAAAAATATAAATAGTAAAGTCAAGTACAGATACCCCAAAAAACGACTTAAGTAGTACGTTAAAGTATATTTACTTAAGTACTTTACACTACTGGTTAACTCTCTTTCTTAGCTAGCTGGACTATGCACTTGCCTCTGCTAGCAATACACTGTGCTAACATTAGCCTAGACTGGACCACAGAAAATAACAGTTTTAAACAGTTGTAAAAACCCACTTCTTCCAGACAGAATAGTTCCTGTAGATTCAGACTTACTCATCACCAATCTTTTGTTATGTATCGTGGGTTTCATAACCACGTCTGTATAACAATTCAATAATGATGTGACGGGAGACA